TACCCCCCCGCCCCCCCCCCCGCCACCGCCGACGCAGGTGGGTCGAGAGCAAGGGCATCGTCAAGTCCGTCCTGGGGAGCAGCGCGCTGCAGCGGTATTACCTGCACCTGCTGGAGGAGGCCAGGGGCGGCGACCCTATCCCGCCGCTACCGACGACGATGATGAAGGTGCGGCCCTATGTCCCTGACACGAACCACACGCCACTTTTCCCGTGTTTCTGATCTTTGCCCCTGAGCGGGGGGGGTGGTGCCTCCATCTCCCACCCCTCCGGACGGCGATGACGGCGACACACTCGCACCGTTGTCACCGTCGTCGACGGTACTGTGGTTCGACTACGCGCTGTGCAGATGAGGTCTGGTGCTTTCGTTTTTATTTGCACGTCACGGCATGTTGGCACCAGGTGCCATGCTCGCGGTCCGCTGGGGGCACTGGGAGCGTAAGCGGTAGGATGGACGTGGTCGTGTGTAGCACTACAAAATATTGTCCTGTATGGCACTGTGTGCTTCCTTGCCTACCTCTGTTCATCGGCCGAGAGAGCACTTCCGCCACTCTCCCCGCCCCCCCCCTGTTCTCTCAGGCCTCCTCGTGTACCTTCCCTCTCGCGGTACTCTACCAGCAACCCTAACCACGCCCTCCCTGATCATCGACACCCCCCCCCTCCTACCGAAAACATGCCATCGCTATCGCCATCGCAGGCGGTGGGAAGTCTGAGACCATCGCTGGCCGAACGCCTCCGCATGGACGTAGCGAGGGACATGCTGGCGCTGGCGGGGCGGACCTCGGACTCGGCGTTCGAGGCCGACGCTCCCCAGTTCTCCAGCATACCCTCCGTGCCCTTCCGGCTGCCGGACGGCACTGAGGTGCGTGTGTGCGTCTAAGAGGGAGGTGGTTGGTTTGTTAACTCACGTGCGGCTTATGTAACATGGAGCGGGGGAGATTGGGGGGGGTTGTATGGGCGGGCGGGGGCGGGGTCGTACGGCGTGAGGTTGTCGTTTTGGTTAACAGGCGGTGGCTTTGCAATGTTTTCTCGAGAGCGATGCCGTGTTGAGTTGGAAGTCGATGCGTACGTACAATGTAGTGGCCTCTCTGGTTCTGGTTGTTCTTTGTAGACACGACGACGTCTTTGTACCATCCCTCAGCGTACTATTTACACTACACGTAAGGACGCTCGCTCGAGGGACGACAGCGAGGGCTTCTCAGCGATGGGAAATATTCGATCTGTGCGACGTGGGGGGGTCGTGTCCACCTGTTCGCCCACGAACGGCGTTCGGCCACCGCTGACAGCGAGATCTCTGTTGGTGTGTTTGTTTTGTTTTCTCGCGGTGGTGCGAACCGTATTCGTTGGCATTGGGGATAGAGTTGAGTTGAAGCCTATACAGCGCAGCCGGGACGGAGTTTTGTGTTTTTTGCTTGCGTCGTTTTTGTCGCGTGTGTGTGGCACGCACAGCACCAAGCGAGAAGATACATGAGGTGATTGGCGAGTTGCATGAATGGCGATTTAGTTGGAGGTTGGACTGCTGAGCTGAGTACAAGGATTTCATGGGCCGTTCCAATCGGGCTTTAGCGGTAGCGCTGACGTTCATAAGGTGGCCCTAGAACCTAAAAGCGCGCCCCTGGGTATCAGTTTGTCTGTCTCCCAGCTGCGACAAACTCCACTCCCCCCACCACCCTCGACGCCACCCCCCCCCCCCCACCTACCTTGAAACCCATCCACGTCACCCCCAATCTTTCTCCGCGTCACCTCTTGATGTCTGTTGTCTTTGCGGCGCACCAACATCCCAACGCCGCCAGGTAGGGATAGGCATGGACAGGTTCAGGGTGCCGGAGTTGCTGGTGAACACGTCGCCGCTGACCGAGGCTCTGTCGGGCGGAGTCGGGAGCGGTCAGGACCCGTCCCCCGGGATGAGGTTGCTGGCGGAGTCCCTCAGCCGACCGGGCTTCGGAATGCGTCCGCTTCAGGTAAAAAAATGAAACAAAACTTGTGCATGATGTCGTTTTGGCTCCTACTCTCTGTGGTTTGAGTGCATAGCGGACATCTGGTGCTACGCAATCAGCAGTACTGTGTGTTGATCCCCCTCACGCCGTGGTACGTGTGTGGTCTGAGTGAGGCAAACGTTTGTTCTGGTTCTCTGCTCATACCATTGGTCGAAGTACGTCCTCCTGTGTGGCTTGTTTTCGTCGACTTTCAGTCCTGACTTCTGAACGCGAGATACGGTATGTAGTTGTGGGTTTTTCCGTTATGTTCTGGCGGTGTGCACGCCGCTGCTTGCCCCACTATCGTGGATTTCGCTCCTTTCAGATGCCGACATGACACCATCAAGCCTCTCTATATCTGTGCTCAGCTGTTGAGCAAGTGATGGTCCCGCTACATTCGACGAGATTGTCGTCCAAGTTTGGACCAGATCGTTGTCTCGACACGCAGGATGCAAAGGGGTGCGCCTGCGACAGGGTAGCAGGAGAGAGTAGAGCTCACAAAGTTGGGGAATGTCAAGCTTGTCCGAAAGAACGGGATGCCCTTATTGTTTCAGTATGAACAATGTGGATCGGACATGGTAATGGGATGGGCAACTCGTGACAAGTTGCGGAAGAGTAGTGAAAACGTGGTAAGTACCAAAATGGTAGCCACCAGCATGACAAAACAGAAGGGGGATGTGCAAAACAAAGCGAGAATTTCCCACGCAAGAAACGCCCCTAGACGACCGTCGGCGGTGCACCTGTAAGGGGTAGAAACGATACTTCCGTATCTATTCCAAAGGAATGCGCGGTCAGGGTGACTTCACTAAGTCAGGGAAGCAGCAACTTGCGGACCCCCCTCATCCCACGTTCACGAGCGCGTGCACGTCGTGCGTGCACCAAGCACCCGACAGACGTAGAGCCGGCATCCTACAGCAGCAGGCTGTAGCGGAGTTCCTTGCTTATCGTGCGACGATATCGGTGTGGGAGGAGCGCGCAATCATAGCACGCAACCATAGCACGACCCTCTATGCTGTCGGTTACACCCGAAACGAAACCTCCCTCCACAACGCGCGCCCCACGAATGAAACGGAACAGGCGACGGTCGTGGAATCCGTTCTGGCGTGCGAGCGAGAGCAGCAAGCGCAGCTGTTCAACAGCGTGGTGTTGGCCGGGGGAGGGTGCTGCTTCGAGGGCCTGGCGGAGAGGGTGAAGGCGGAGATAGAGCAGAGCCTCGACGCCCCGTCCACGGGGTGGAGAGTCAAGGTCCTCGCCGCCGGCAACAACGAGCGAAAGTGAGGAGGACTTGTTGTAGCGCTTGCCTCGCGTCCCGTCGTGGAGTGTTTGCTCCGCGGTTCATCCAGAGGTGGTGATTGTAGGTGGCCGTTTTTGTCGTCTGGAGTCTGTTCGTGTTCCATGTGTGTTTGCTCTTGTGTGGGGAAAGCATGAGGAGACAAACTTACTTTCAACCTGTACAAGTAGTGCGACCAGATTTTGCCATTCTATTCGCGGTTTGTAGAACTAGGTCTGCCATTTGTATCTTGCTGTTATGGCGTGCCCGTCGATTGTTACTCTATGTGCAACGATGGCCGCCACGGTTTGCGAGAGGGTCCGGACAAGCCAAATCACACTCTCAATCCGGTTTCCCGTCAATTCGTACCTCGTAAAGTATCATGTTTTTCTCATGGCCGGGACAGGTCGCCTATTGCTCTCCTCTCTTGCACCCGTACTTGCTCTTGAAATGTTTCTCTTCGACTGTAGCCGTTACTGCCGTTTTCGTCGAAGTTGGCTGGTGTGTTGCCTCTTTCTCTGTCGTTTGCTCCGCGTTTTTCAAAGATGCGCGAGCTTTCGCCTTTTGTGTGGGTTTTGATGGTGGCAACGCTAGTCGCAATGAATGCCCAGTCGTGAGATCGGCGCTGCGTGTTTTTGTGCTTGTTGCGATCTAGGCGCCAAACTGGGCATCTCCCACTGCGCCATTGTTTTCTAACCCTAGAGTTTTACATTGTCTGCGAACCTTTCGTTTGCAATGCAACAACGCAACCCCTTTTGCTACCATCAAAATCGCCTACCGTATGCTACCTCCAACCTTTGTTGTTTTTCACATGCATGCGCGTTGCAGCCATTGCTGCTAGAATTAAACACCAGAATGATGGACCAAGCCCCATTTAGTCGTCTGTTGTTGTTTTCCTCTAGTAATAAGCCATTAGCCAACCCCTCCTTGCTAGTCTACCAGCGCGGTTATCTCTCCCCTATGATCCGATTTCCATGACTTCAGATGGAATGGAACACGGCCAAAACGTGTGTGTGTTTTTTATAGAACGAAAGTAGAAATGATGCGATGGAATGGAACACAACAAACCATTCTCGGCGATAGGAGGTGCGTTGTGGAGCCTCTTCCCTTGTCTCCAAATGAAGACTACACATTGAGCACGTTCCCGAGTTTTTTGTGTCGACTATTGTTTGTTTTTTGCTGTCATCCTCTCGCCAAGAGCGCTTTCAGCCTTTTCTTGTTGTTCAAGAATATCAACACCCAGCAACCCCCCCTTGTTTTTTTCTTCCATGAACATTTTCTCAAGCCCCGTTTTATCCTGTTCCCTAAATGGACGAACTCGATAGGGTCAGTACATGGCTGGGAGGCTCCATCCTGGCTTCCCTCGGCAGCTTCCACGAGATGTGGCTGTCCAAGTCGGAGTACGAGGAGCACGGGGCGCACATGATCGACAAGAAGTGTCCATGACGGTCTGTGTGAGGCTTGGCCGTGGACCTCTTTTTTTTTAGGCGCGACCACGTTTGATGTTGCACCTTCTATTGGTCGCGACCACGAAGTGCTGCCGGCTCTCGAGGGTCAGAAGGAGGTGCACCTGCGCAAAGGCCACTAGGGCTTTACATACGATTATTTGCACAACGTCGACAACGACGACAATCACACCGCTACATAGCTACCGATTTCCCTCCAGCTTGAAGACGAGGAGCCTGGCGCTTTTCATGAGCCTCCTTCATCGAGTGTGCCGCTGTATGTGGGCGTACTTTGTGCGGACTGGTGCACGGCCTGCTTTCCAGCGCGTAAGGTGGTGTGGTGGGGTGTGCCAGGGTCGGTGATGGCCATGGTAGTGGTGTGGCCGGTGGTATCGCCTTTAGAACGGCGTGATCACCCAACCACTTCTGGACGGGGTGAGGGCAGGTTCTCGGTATGCATCTGCCGGTGACGGTTGTCTGCTATTGTCGGGAAGAGACGTGTCCCCTTCCAATTACGGTACGCGTGCTTGCTCCAAATCGGCGGGCGGTACATCTTTCCGAGCCTCCCGACGTTCTCTTTTTCCTTTGGCACGGCGGTTGGGTGGGAATTTCTTGAGGCGATGCGCACTCCGTGTGATCGTACTTGTGAATGTTGTGAATCTATCCACATCGGGCGGATTTCCTGTGCTCAAAACAGCACCTTCAGACAGTGTGCCCTGGATAGATAGTACCTCTGTTGGATTGTAGGAAGGCCCTCCGGCGGCGAGTTGTGCGACTTTTGTCATGGTCTATTATCTCGCTTGCCTGTGAAGAGTTATGGATCTCGTCCACACCCGCGGCGACTTAGACACCTTCCGTGGGCGGCGTGGCAGAAGAAGGGCCCGGTGGTGGAGGAAGCTGTAACCCCGTACCGAAGACATGCAGTTTTCTCCGTTATTGTTCGGGTAATGAACGAAGTTGGTCCGGAAGAGCGTCATGCAGCACGCTCATCACCCCAGCAAGTGGCATGGGGAAGATCTCGTTGTTTAGTTTGTGTCCATATGTATATATTGTTTTTTGGTCTCCACTTCAAATCAGCGCTCACAGCAGTACTAGTGCCGTTTACTCCTACCCGTGGTCACACAGAAGAGCCCCTCTCTACCGTCCCCTCCTGCGATACTTTGCCTTCGATTTTTCATGCGAGAAGAGTTCAGCACTCTGTTACCTCTGTGTACACACGAACTAGCGCTATCCACTAGGCCAGGAGCGGAAGCGAGAGAAAAACTCACTATACAAGAAAAGCACGCTCGCTTTCGCCGGGATTCGAACCCCAGACCTGACCTCTAGAAGGGGTTGAGGTTACCAACTAGACCACCGGGGCGACCGGGTGCATGGAAAAATGTGAATGTCCAAGTCGGGAGATTAACGTGCACGCCGACAGGGAGATTCGAACCCGTGTCCTAGACGACGCCATGTATGTGCGGAGGAGTGTACCGATTCTGGTAAAAATCAATCTACGAATGTTGTGCGAATCGGGTCCTCCTTATCACGGGGTCACACGACACGAGGAGGAGGGGAAGAAGGTCACACGGCACGGGACTAATTTTTCTTTTATTGTTTTTTTTTGTTTACTGCCTGTGCCCCACCCGCCCTTCCTCCTGCCGTGCTTGCCTTAGTATTTATGGCGAGAAGAGGGTTCACCCACCCATCCTTTTGCCTCTTCGACCGTGGAGTCGAATTGATTTTGTTTACTCACGACCTGGATTACTCTCGACCGCAGGTTGCTGGAAATATGTCACGGGCCTGAATCTTCCGGAGAGAGAATCGGACCTACCCACAAAAAGACTTGCCCCTAGGGAGTCCATGCAGGTTGACTGACCATTGGACCCCGCCACTATTAGCCACATACTTCTGTAGTATATATCGAAAGAGTAGCCTTTCTTTCTGATTTTGTATATAATTTTCCTAATGAGAATAGTCTATTTATTCCGCAAATACAATATAATCAGGAAGCGCGAGAAGCATGCTGAGTACTCGTTAGGTAGTTGGTCTGACCAGTCTTTCAGAAACATCTGGGTTGGAAAAAAAAGGTTTGACTGAGGTACACGATGGCTTGAGGGAGGCTTCGAACCCCCACGATTCGTCAATCAAGGGATAAACCTACTCAACCCCGCCAACCCCATCAGTCCATACGGATACAGCCGATTTTAACCCTTTAAACTGTGAAACGAACAAATAAATATGACGACCATAAATTCGCCCTTCGCCGACAGTTGTCTTCACACTACTACTTACGTTTTGTCACAAACGCCCGTCGCCATCCATGCGGTTTATTCGTTCGTTCTTTTCTGCCATCATCACGCATGGTGCTGCGTGTAATGGTATATAGAGCTACCTGTCCCACTCAGGCTGTCTGTGTGTACAGCAGCAGCAACACAACAGTACTACAGCAGTCCGCAGTGTAGTACACAAGGTACGCAGCTCATTGCAGCTGAGTAGATGCAGACCACGATTTTCCGGATCCCCCCCCCCTCCGCTCATTTCTTTCCTAACAAGAGACCCCCCGCCGCGCTGGCTCTGCTGGCTCACTTCCAACTGCATCTGCAACAAGAGCAAAGAGTGCCACGGTGCTGCTGGCAGGCGCTGGCTTCTTTGTCTCTGGCCGGCCATCTTTCCCGATGAGACTCAGCTGGGTGCTCGTGGTGGCAGTACATGTGAGTCAACGTTAGAGTGCGGCATCCTGGGACGGGTTGACAACCTACCGTGTAGGCGGCTGCTGCGGATGGACTGATTGATTTCTCTCGTGCTCGTGTCACGTCTGTCTTACATTCTTCCTCTGCCTCTTGGTTTAGGCCCAAACCTGGTCTTGCGCAAACCGAGCGCCGAGTCGAGCAAAGGAGCTCGAGAACCTTGCCATCTAGTACATCTCCATTGCTTGTCTTGGGCGTGTGAGATGGACTTGCCGTGCCGTTGATCACGCAGTTTTGTTCTCGGTGTTCAACTGTAGGCGAGGGAGGAGATCATGTCTATATCTTGGTATCCTGCCTGCAGTCTTTTTCTGAGGTTGTTGGCGGACCACACGGCGCCGTTGATGGTTGACGCCTTTCTTTGGGGTGTGCCGGCGCTCACTCGCATTGATTTGCTCCATGTGGCATGTCGTGTACTCCGAGAGGGTAGACTATATGGAGAGGCACGGGCGGATCTTTTGTCTACGCTCGCTTGCAGAGAGACAGAGGAAGTCAGGAGACGTTCGTTTGGCTCACTATACTGTAGTCTATC